CCGAATGCTTTCTGTTCCTATCAAACTCGATTGACGAATAAATCTGCAAAAAAGGACAAATATATACTTACCTCCTACCCAATAAATAAACCTCTATAATATATACAACATGTAACTTAAATAACGCACATCCTGAAAATAGTTTGTTCAGAATCGTTAACTGAATTGGTTTATATAATTTTTAGTATAAGTAATTTTTTATCCTAAAAATAATTAAAACTACGGAAATTATTGTCATATTAACCCTGTATTGTTAAAACAAATCGAAATGGAGCGTAAGTCAAAGCAACAAGACCATTAAAATCGCAGTTTTATTTGTATTCATACAAATTGTATCATTCAATACAAAATAAAGACAAATAAACCTTATGACAAGACCAGTAAGGATGCATATACATGTTACATTTAAAATTTAGTATATGTATTATGATTATAACATAATATTCTAATTGGGGTGTTTGAGGGTGTGCGTTAATTACGTTACATGTTGTATATATATATGTCGGAGAAAATGCACCCATTGGGGGTACTTCGTCATCGGATTCTTCGTAAACGCGGTAAGTTCGGGCTGGCAGAACAACCGCTTACCCTCGTGTCTAACTCAAAAGTGACGCCTTTCAAAATGCCAACATGCCACGCCCCGTACCGACCATCACCCAAGCACACTGCTTGACGTTTCCGACAAATGATAACAGATGGCGTTGTTCTAAAATAACGATACATATAAGCATACATATAAAAAAACAGTCATCAACCGTTTGTCTGGTTAGGGAATAAAATATGATGATTAAAAACAACTCTTTCTATATTATAATTTCTTCTTTTTTTTTAATAAAACGTTGCCCCACTCTAGGATTTTCTCCTTTGTCGTGGGTGCGTTTACAAACATAAAAGTTCACGTACACAATGACACCCAGACCGAAACAACTATTTGTGGATCACACAAAGTGTTGTTCCGTGCGGGAATCGAACCCGCGACACGTTGCACGGCAGCCGGTTGCCCGGCCACCGCACCAACCGTGCAGTCTCTGCAGTCTCTGCAGTCTGCAGTTTTTGTGCAGATATAACTATTTCTAACAACCACAAACAGCTTGGATGTCCAGTCGATTTTGATTCATAAAAATTGTTCAACTTTCTTAAAAAAAATGCTATAACTGCCTCGATGGCCGAGTGGTCGCAAGTGCGACAACCGGGCAAGGGATCTCGGGTTCGATACCCGGGTCGGACAAAGTATTACTGTGTTTTTTTTTTAAATCTCAGTGACTCAGTATTAGCACGGAGCCTGGAAATGTGCCCGGTATATGGCAATAGGCTCACCCCATAATACATGGAACTCATAACATAAATAGTGAAAAGTGATTGTTATATTGTATAGTGGCATAATGCTCTGCTTAGCCCTTCGGGGATAAAAGGCGTGATGTTATGTTATGTTATCTTATGTGTTTCTTTAACAAAATTTTCTGGACAAATAAGTAGAAACTGAAATAATTTAATTCTTTAATTAAGGAAACTGAAAGTAAAAGGTTAGTTTTGTATGTGTTAAAAAGACCATTGTATCATGACTTTTCTGTGATACAATCTATTTTTGAAGGTAGTCACTCCTTTTATTTTGACGGCATTTTGTATATCGAATTCGAACCAAATATCAAGCTATATTTTGATAAAGCATCTGTTATTCTGTTCTGTATCTGTTATTAAGTAACTGAGGAACAGACAGATATAGGTACGACAATAAGCTTATATAATATATGTAACCTGTACAATAAGATTTATAACGCAGCGTAGCTTATGTATTGGCTCCGTGCCTATCATTTATCGTTAAGAGTAACTAAACCTTAAAATAATGATAGTAGGTTCAAAATCCTTATTGATTAATGTTTAGATATAATGAGATCAAGGAAAAAAGGCGGACATAATTTCAGTTAAAAATTATTGAAGCACCATATTGTCTGTGGCTTTTTTATGTGTGCATATTATGTAATGGGTCACTACGTTGAAATTGACAAGTTCGTTGTTTCAAGAGACTATGTCCACCATTTCTTCAACGTCCCTGAGTGAGACAAACACATTGTTTAGTATAGATATATAAACTGTTAACACGATCTAGAATAATCGAATCAACATAATATACATTAAGCCAAGGTTTTAGTTAATCCGTTCAAATATTCAAAATGTTATTTTGCACAATTTTGTCTGGACATTACACTAATATACAATTAAAACGGTTACAATTAAAACGATAATCCCGTCGGTTATTCAGTATGAATTTCAGGGATTTTAGCGCCTACTAAAATTGTTTTACTAAATTATAAACATTATTGAAGCGTTCAGACAATTTTGCTATTTGCATTATGGTGTTTAGCCTAATGTAGTCTGAATTTGGTCGTAAGGTGCTGGAAGAGGTCGGGTCTGCGGACAATCTTGTGGATTACCTGAGCCCCGGCTCGAAGCAGAAGTAGGAACAGGGTAGTTTTAGTCAATAAGAGTCTGACACTCCCTCTCACTTCACCCATGGTGAGAGAAATCAAAGGATGAGTTTCTTCCCTTTTTAAAAAATGAGCTACTGGCTGACTGGCCTGGCTTATGCTATCTCCATATCTCCATACTTAAGCTATATCCATAGCATAACGTTCAAAAAGGTTACAGGCGGCCCTTGCATTGTTGTCTGCTTGTGTGTCGTGACGTAATAAACGGTATTTTTTCTTTCCTCTTTCTTTTTTTTTCTTGGAGATTTTTAATGTTTCTTTTCCTAATGCAAATACTAATAGGTTTTAATATTATCTTCAAATCTTAGAATGATCCACTTTAGATAATTTCCATATTTTAGATGGTTTCCCCGCCGGTATTATATTAGGACCAGAATTAATTCGATTTGGTTACCATTAGGGATTTATTTAGTTATCCTCGGACTATCGTTTTAATTCTGAGCTCAAAGATAAGCCTAATAACGTCTGGTTATTGCTTTGGTACATAATATGGACCTATTATTGAATTACGATAAACTTTTTGTGGTTTTGTTGAAACGTGTAAGTTATCTAGTATTTTTAAACAAGTATTTATTATTAGTGGATTTTTTTCCATGGCGTTCGGATAGTTGGGAGTGCAACTTGCTTAGCCTGAGATGATAGCTTAGCAGTTTACTTTCGAATTGGTTAAAGGTTGACAGTTTTTTTTTCAATGTCTAAAATTCTCCTGCCAGTAGAATCGTTAAATGTATGTTTGAGGGCTCGTACACAAAACTGTGATGCGACGTCGCATCGAAAAAATTGTTTCTTTTTCCTGTATCTCCTAAGCAATAACAGAAGTCCACACTTCTTTTTATGATCCATGTCACGACCTAGTTTTCAATTTAAAATACGCTTAGTACGGTTAACAGTCGTCGAACGAATGGTCACCCTGGGAGACGCCTTGTCGCACGAAATCGCATCTCAGCAATTCGGATCGTATTTTTTGCGTTACGAATTTGCTTCGCATGCGCGCAGTTTTGTGTACGAGCCCTAAGACTCATTTCTTATTAAATAGATAACATAAGGCGGAAAATAAGTGTTACATTTACTATGAGAGTGTCCAGATTTGCATTCCTATGTATGTGTACATACTATGTGTAGTACATATACCTAAATGTATAGTGTATACTACCATCTAAAGTGTCACCAACACACGGCGCTGCAGTTACACACAATATATTAAAATTACAATGACGTGCAAAATAATAACACTACTAAATAACAATTTTGTAAAACGTGTGCGTGTGTGTGTGTGTGTGTGTGTGTGTGTGTGTGTGTGTGTGTGTGTGTGCGTTATTTATAGGTAGGAGAAGTAAGTAAACGTTTTTTTGTCATCTGTATAACATAGGCCTAAATAATTTCCTGAAGGTTAAATGTGTCCCTTTTATATAGATCTTATAGCTACTAGATACTAGACGTCTACTGATACTAGAAGTCAACTGTGGGAGAGCCGTACTTTGGCATGAATGGGTCTGGGTCGGCCGGAGTGATACCACGGCCTCAAAGAAAACCGACGTAAAACAACGCTTGCGTTGTGTTTCGTCGTGAGAGTGAGGTTACCAGAGGCCCAATTACTCTACCCCAAACCCTGAATCCTCAACGATCCTCAAATTTTTAATCCCAAAATGCCGGTAACGTACTTGTGATTGGTGTTCCAGGTGTCCATGGGCGACGCCGTTTGCTTACCATCAGGTGATCCATCTGTTCGTTTCCCGGCTTATCTCATAAAAAAGATAGTGCATATAAATTTCGTTTCATGTTCCACCAAGCACATAGTAGATAAGATACGAACAGTTTTGAACAACAGCAGCAGCGACGACTAGCAGCTCTTTAGACCTGTAGTTTATAAATACAATTTCTTGAAATTCAGTCTTAGTAGAGGTTGGAAACAAAAGTATACCTCAAAGGTCTCTTTGTTTAAGTTATTACTAGCAGTTCGTCCCGGCTTCGCACGGGGTAGAAAATAATTTATTTTTGGAAATTTGGATTGTTGTAGTGACATAACTACAACAGTTGGACATATGCTACCGCGGAGTTTTTTGTAGACATTATGATGTTCTTCAATATTGTTGTATATTATTTTGTTTATGGCTAATAGTTTCGGCAGCGCATTCGACGAAAGACATTTAAATACTCATTTTTCTACACCTTCGGTTACTTTGTTCATTTTACCAAGGATCTCTAATTTTTTTCAAAATGAAATGTAGCCTATGTCAAATTGGAAGAATTTAGCATTCTATTGGTGAAAGAATTTTTTAAATCGACTCAGTACTTTTTGAGCCTATTCATTACAAACATACAAAAATAGGTACAAATCTTTCCTCTTTATAATATTAGTATAGATATAGATATGCTAGCTGTTATCCATAGCTTCATTAACGCCTAAAAATAAATAAATATAAGTATATCAACCAAACAACCAAACTAAATAACGATGGAGAAATTTTAAAATAAAACAAACTTTGATTAAAATCAATTTATCATGCTCTCTCATTTACATAAAATTTTGGTTTAAATCTATATTTAAATAAATACCTATGTGCATTATTTTATCTGTGCATACAAATTAAACTTACTATTACTACTATTACTAGCAAAAACACTGAGTTTTATATTTTGATTAATTTATTTGTTAACTTTTTAACGCACACAAAAATAATGTACATACATAATGCCCTATGGCGTTTTCTCCCGTCAACTTTTGGGTTAAGTAAAGAATCAGCGAAAACAGGCTTGTGTAATATGCAGTAAAATAAAACGAAATAAATAACTAATAGTAATTATAAATACTGTATAACATTATTATGGTTTTGTCTTCTGATTAATCTTTTCTCAATTTCCTCAATTATTATTGTTTGTATCTTCAGTTTCTTTTATCCTTCTCATGCTTGTTTCAGTTCTACATAATATGTACACCTGTCTTCCTTAAAATTATACTTAGTACTAATATCTTTGCCAAATGATTGGCCTTCTTTATACTTATTAAAAATAATTATAACTATTAAACAACTTTCTTCAAGTTTCCTTGGCCCCATACCATATCAATTATTAACCATTGGCTAGTATAATAGAAGAAATTTTCTAGAAAAACGTATATGACTAGTATGGGGAATTTTATTCCTGTGAACAGCTTCAGACCTGGGTATATGTATTCGCCTCTCATCACGCTTTGAACGCACCTGGAACCAATTAACAAAATATTATTGCATTCAATTCATTTGAAGGGAGTTTTTCTACATTTTACCAAACCTCTATACTACGTCATTTGTTGTAATTCCTGAGACATCACATCTGTCTTTACGTTAAAATTCATCCAATTTTTTTAAATGCCTCACACTAGATTTTTTTTCATGTGTCGTGGGTGCGTTCACAAACATACAAGTTCACATACACATAATGACACCCAGACCCGGAACAACAATTTGTGGATCACACATAGAGTTGCTCCGTACGGGAATCGAACCCGCGACGCGTTGCTCGGCTGCCAGTTGCCCAGCCACCGCGCCAACCATGCAGTCAAATAAGATATGCAGTTTAGGCGTTAGAGCGTAAGATGTTAACAAAATACATAATTTAATAGTCACGTTTTATAACAGAGACACATATGTTATAGCGGAACAGGAAATTGTTGCGCGTTTCACAGATTATAGAAATTGTTTAGATGTGTAATAAAAATCAGTGAACCTATTGCCACACGCCGCATTTAATAGTCGTTAGAAAACCAGAATATGAGCTTCTTGCATCGATCATTATTTTTGTCTCTCCATCACCCAAAGGTCTGGCTGGAAGAGAATGCCCATGAAATTAACCCTACCTTGTATATTACTATGTGCATGAAGCCTTCTAAAATAAAAAAGTACAAAAGCTACTTACACAACAGTATAAGCGATAAGAAAACATGATAATACTCCAATATTCAGCACGTTACTCTTAGGCCTCTCTCTCTTCACCAGCACGAGGTCTGTAAGCACCACAATCAAGGACACAGTGTGCATACAGTGCTGGGACCAGAAGGGAACCACTTTGTGAATGCTCGGCGGTGCTATCAGCTCTCGATGAGTATTCCATACTCGCCAGAACAATATGTCACCAAACTGGAAATATAATAATATCTGTGTTATCACTGGGTCTCTTTGTTAAAGTTAATTGATAAGTCTACTAAAGATCTAAACAGTTAATATATGTGTAGCGGTTTGCAACTTGGGCATTCCGCTACATAATATGTTTATCAAACCTATTTGAATAAATGATCGGGATACAATTGCCTGACAATATTTACAATTATTTTTTTTGAGGGGGGAAAATCATCTAATGACTTCTCCCGCCCGAGTAAGGCGGGAATATTTACATATAGCCAGCTGTATTGCTATCACATATTATAGAAAAATATTGAAATATTTTGTGACCGTCTGTTTTGTTTTTATAATAACTATCATGAGACATACTGAATTAACTAAAAATCGCGGGTTACTCACGTGAATAAACATAAAAAGTGTTCCAGGTTTGTGTTCCAGGTGTCCATGGGCGACGTCGATTGCTTTCCATCAGGTGATCCGTCTGGTCATTTAACGGCTTATGCCATAAAAAAAGAAAAGCTCTACTATTTTTGGACCACAAAGGGGTTCTTCCTCATGAGCAGCATGGGCGGTCGCGGCGATATCGCGCAGCCTACCTAGTATATTCACGTGAGTAACCCGCGATTTTTAGTTAACCGTCGGTTTTGTTGATTAAGTCCAAAAAATGTTGAACTTAAAGCTACTTTGAAACGTTTCTAATTGTTAATTCAAAAATAATCTATTCACGCCACCCATTTTACCTAAAATAGGTATTCCTAGAAGCATAAAGTTATTATGAGAATTATAAAATTCTCAATATTTTATATCCTGTCAATAAACATCATAAACAAAAATGTGAAATTATATAAAATATAAGGAAAACATTTTTTTCCTTATTACGAAACAACTTAAATGAGACAAGGTTAGGCAAGTAACAACTTCATTAAAGTTTCTCCTTAAAATGGACATGACTGTCATTTCATAGTAAGTTCTTACACATTTAATAAAGAAATATTTTGGCAGTTGTTTTTACAAAACTTATAAAGTTTAAAATCAATTATCATTATTCTATGTGTGATAGTAAGTTAAGTGTGGCAGAGCCTTGCTTCGGCACGAATGGGTCTGTTCGACCGGAGTGATATCACGGCCTCACAGAAAACCGACGTAAAGCACAAGCCCCCCAATCTCCCCAATCCCTGTATCCCCAACAATCCTCAAACTCCTAATCCCCAAATAGGCCGATAATGCAACACCTCTGGTGATCGAGGTGTCCATAGGCGACACCGATTGCTTACCATCAGTTCATCCGTGTGGTGGTGTGTGGTGGTGTGGCTTATTTATAAAAAAAAATTGTATATCTAAGAAAAATAAACTGTTAAGGTATCTGTCTAGACCAAAAATGATGTTGTTATGGAACATGTAGGTACTTTTGTGACAATCTCAAACGAAGTCCCAAAAAAGGTCAATAGATTATAAGAACACATTATTGGTATCTATGTCAATAGATACTAGTATCAAAATCCCGTAGCAGACTTGAAACACAAAGCACCCGAGGTTGAAGGTTTCAGATTGGCTTAATACGGTATTTGTGCCCACTTGAAGACGTATACTCGCAAACAATCGTAGTAAAATATATAATATATAAATTATTATGACAACATTGTGGATACTTTTTATATATTATTTAAAAAAGTTACGTGACGTCATTAGCGAAGATGACTAGATTTTTGTTTGAATACCCGTCTTTTAGTCTAATTAAAAAATTAATGCTTAATTTCGATATATTGATTAGAAATACCGCGTCACGACATTAACTTATAGTCTGTATACCAAGGAATTATTTATTGGTAGCTTAAATTAGCTTTAGATTGACTAGCTTCACTGACAGACAGATGGACGGACAAGTCAATTTTTCACGTTTCATAAGTGCCTCATTAAGGTTTAATTGAAATAAATGCTTTGATTGTGATTTCAGTTTCATCAAATGAACTTATACGAAAATTTCTTGATCAAATTGTCACATTTGCGACCAAGTGAAGTAATTTAATAAATAAATCAGATAATAACATATTATTTTACTCCATTCGGAATCTTCACAGTTAATTGCGTATTTTTGGGTCATTTCCAAACAAGCTGACCAAGGGTACGACATTGTGAAGTAATTGCAATCTGATGACAATAAAAATGAATAACTGAATTTTTTTTTGTTTAATTAATTTGATTTTTTTTTTATTTGTAATCTTGTTTTTTTTTTACTGATTTTATTTTAAGTTTAATTTATCAATAATTGTAACACAATTTATACAACTGTAACTAAATTTAATGTTCCAATAATTCCGTATTTATATAATTAGTAATTGACATCCTAATGTATTTTTTTCTTTTCTTTTTTGAGATAGATATGCTCCTATGGAATCATTTGTTATTTTTCTGTATGTTTTGTTTATCGTTTTATTTTTTGCATGTGGTGTTAACCTATAATTAATTGTTGCACTTGTAAATGTTTCTACAGCTTTTTAATCAGTAATGTATATAGTGTAAACAATTGTTGGTTAACCAAAATAAATAAATAAAATAAATAAATAAAATGACATCTCTCAAAATCTTCCACATTTTTTTGACAGCTGTGAGGTCGAATTATAAAGAGAATTTTTTATCCTTTTATTTTTAATTTCAATATTGGGCTAGTTAAACTTGCTTCTACAAATTATTATAATTACTTTTAGTCCTTGTTAAATAAAAAAGATTTGCTCAAAAAGATGTTCGTTATAAAATCATTTTACCGGGTAGAGGAAGGAAGTTGAAGTATAAAAATTAAAAATTGATTGAAGGTAACCAATTACATAACTTATATTCACTAAAGATTTCCTTCCTGAAAGTTAATTTATTTTACGTAAAGTTCTGACCACGGTGTAATTGATAAATGGCATGGACATTTTTATATAAAAAATACTTCGAAAAATAATTTCTCACCTAAAATTTTTTGTCAAACGAAACGAAACATATTTTTTGCCAACAATTTTTTTTTGAACGTATGAAACCAGGTACTGTACCGAATATTGTTTAACAAACCTTAACTATACTAGCTTTAGAATCGAACAAAATGGAATACAAATAAAACATTTTACCTACAAAAATCAAACAAACAAAAATGGCCCGTGTGTACCTTTTGTTAAAAATCAATATTAACATGCACTTTTGTACTTCATATTACTAAAACCTTTATTAAGTAAACATGTTTACAGGACCGCTTAGTGGCAATTTGTGTGTTGAAACTTACTGCAGTGGTCGGTAGTAGGATGCTTGTGAAGCACAGGCATCTAACTTGATTGAGAACTTTCACGTGATTGCGTCCATGCTCTCCTCGCAGTTCCCTCCAATCACAGTAGAAACATATTGGGAAGTACACCAATGTGAACAGCTGAAACAAATTAACATAATTGTTATTTATTCTTAGATCTTAGGCACTGGCCATAAAATAAATTAAAAATCACAAAAGTTATTCACGTAAAACCTCGGCCGCACTAGCAGCTGTAGCCAAATGCCATTTATCGCTTGTCTACATGTAGAATAGAAAGCCAAATTATGTATATGGAATTGACGTAAATTTTAATACTTGTCAGTGTCATCCTCCATTTAGTTTTCTACTCTCTCTATAGACAAGCGCTAAACGGCATTTGGCTAATGGCAAAGGGCGGAAATACGGCGGTTTTTAACCGTAACATTGAATTATATTGCAAAAAATGGACGTAGGACAAAATCGCAAGTGTGGCCGCTTGTATTCGGTTTCTTTCCACCAAAATATGTGGTTAAAAATCACCGCGGTTTCGCTCTAGTGGCCTTACGTGAATAATTTGTGCAGTTTTTGATATGTGCGAGATAGTATTAAATTGTTTTTTTCTAAGTACTTTGTGTTATAACGAATGCCTTTAGATGTATTTTCTAGTCTAATCTATATCCACAGATGGGGCTTAATAGGGCTGATGCCGATACGGAGTCGCGGAGAACCTAACGGGTTACCGTGGCTCTGGCTTGTAGTCCAGTAGTAGGAACGGGGTGGTTTTTAGTCAGTAAGAGCCTGACACTCCCTCCCACCTCACCCAGGCGGGAGTAGTCATTCGATGATTTTCCTCGCTTAAAAAAAGTCTAATCTATATCGTGAGAGCTATAGAACTTTTCTTTATCAAATCCATCTTGGTTTAAAACTTAAAAGAAAAACATACAAGTAAACTTAACACTTGAAATTAATTTCTTCCAAAATAAACGATACAATATTTATTGTTTGATACATTCAAAGTTTAGCCTACATATGTCTTGTTCAGAAATTCTTCGAGAATATTCGTCGAAAGATATATTAGAGATGGGGAAAACAATATTTTTTGTTGATATGTACGCACGTCACGTAAACAATACCGGACGGGTTTTAATGGGATTTTAATCTGCAGAATCCTGAGGAATAGTGATGTACTTGATACTGTTTTTATGGTGGATTTATTGAAATAGGATTTTTAAGATATTGTATTAATACTACAGTGATAGGCGTTGAAGACTGTAAGATAGTAATTTGATACTCTTTTATGGAAATAACACTACATTTTTTTATACGATTGTCCTGTCCTACCTTATAAAAGTACCTACTTACTAAGGGTAAGATCAGGAAGTCGTATAAATAAAATCTTTATATGCATTATTATCATCTAATAACAGTAGGTAACGCGAGACTTTAAACGCCTTAAACGTTTACACAAGTATCAATTTGCAAAAATATAATGACACTAACATTGTCACACTCAAATGCAAATATTTTCATAAAGAGAAAATAATTACAACAAAAAACATCTACTACAAAACATAAAATTTGTTTTCACAAAAACAATATTGTTAAATAATAACTCACAAAAAGGAAGAAAATGTAAAAAAATCGAAACATAATGTGTTTTGTCAATGCTTATGAGGTATAAAGAGTTGGAGCTAGTACTGATAGCCATTTTTTACTATTGAATAGGTTGCCATATTTGGCCAGAAAAGGTGAACCTTCCTCTAAAAAATATGGTACTCTCATAACATAAAGCGATCACACATGTGAAAACTAGACTCTAATCTTTATTTTGTGTACTAACTATAGTAATATTGAATTCATTAAAATTAACAAATTACTCATGTGTTTTTTTTATGGAATAGGCCGGTCAACGAGCATACGAATCTCCTAATGGTAAGCAATCGACGTCGTCCATGGACACCCAAAACACCACGTTATAAGTGCATTGCTGGCCGTTTGGGCGATTCATATTTGACGATTATTGGGGACTCAGAGATTGGGGTACCTACATTAGAAACTTTTTTTTTTTAAGGGGGGAAAATCATCTAATGACTGCTCCCGCCTGGGTGAGGCGGGAGGGAGTGTCAGACTCTTACTGACTAAAAACCACCCCGTTCCTTCTCCTGCACGTCGAGCCGGAACCCCGGTTTACATTAGGTATTAGGGAGATTAGAGATGGGGGTAATTGGCTAGTTTCCTAGGTTTAAAATAAATTGTTTCAACTTTTTAATACAATAAATGATAAAAAAATAATCATACTCTCATCCATTGATTTGACAATTTATTTACTTTTGGATTTTTTCTCGCGGAAAAAAGTAAGACGTCATAAGTTGTGATCCAATACAAAATTCATAGAAAAGTATCATTTTTGACATTTCAATAAAAGTATTGAATTTGACTACCTGTCAACTACCGTATTGGGCTTCTGGTAACCTCACTAACACGACAAAACACCAAGCAACCGTTGTTTCACGTCGGTTTTCTATGAGGTCTTCGTATCAGAAAATGAAATAAATTGAAAATAGTTCTATTAGGGACTCCTATGATTTAATGGTAGGTAATGCTCTAATGGTATCTATAATGAGATTAAAGTAAAACTACATTTTTCATATGCATGTTTCACTACGTCTTACCTTTTCTTATTTACACTTTTAAGACTGTAATATAGTAATTATGATACAAACAATAATATTAGTTTGTTGGTTCTTAAGCACCTTTATTGTAGACTTAGCTTAAACAAACCATCGTCTAAAGGTCAGCGGTTACGTACACAGGGACGGACTCAAAAGTGTACATAGACAACTTTAGTATTGACTCTGAGCTTGGTTAACAGATAATTTAAGTCAACATCTTGTATTTCAATAGTTGGTAATTCCACTGATCGACTTGTTCGATTAATCTAGATTCATTTGAAATATCAGATTACCTTGTTGACCGAGTGGTCGCAAGTGCGACTGCCGGGCAAGGGGTCTTGAAAATTCAAAGAAGAAAAATTCGAAGAAAAATTCTCAGTAGTAGCACGGAGCCTGGAAATGTGGCCGACATATGGCAATAGGTTCACCCCTATTAAATGTGACTTAAAAAATAAATAGTGAAAAGTGGTTATTACATTTTACAGTGGCATAATGTGCACCTCTGCTTACGGCGTGATGTTATGTTATGTGAAAAAATCTCCAACAAAAAAAAAATTAAGACGTAATCAATAAAAATGAAATAACTTCTTCTACCACCGATATTATATGAAATCGGTCTACAATTTTTATTGTTACATTTGATACAATACATGTTTGTTAGGAGCTCCATAACAACATTGAAGGGAAGCTTCCTCATGGTAACTTGTCGTCCTGTTAATTCTACAAAGGAAAGAAGCCATTTTGTTCTTCAAGTTATGAAATTAAGCCTTGTTTCCTGACATTATTTGCTGTTGGCGACGCCGAAGACTTAAATCTCTAAAAACTTGGACAGAAGGACAGTAAAGATTCTCGTTACAGGGGCAGACAGCACTACTGTAATCGCTTTATGTCTTCAAACTTTGTAGCATAAGTTTGGTTTAAAGTTTAAATAATTATCATAATATTCGGAATAGTCTTGTTTCAGTGTTACTTTATATTCTTTTAAAATTTGATGAAAGAGGTGGGTTTCATTATTAGTGTTTATACATACACTAAATAGGAGTATGTGATTTCTAGGCACAAAAATATAGATGTAATCTCAGGCAGGTACCTTATAAGCATGCACGCTTATGACGGCTATGCTAAGCTAATTTATGTACAGTTTAACGCTTGTATAAAGATTTATTTATTTTCCGCAAAAACACTGACAGTTCGAAACGTGTGCTTCAAAAATGACATGCTATGGTCCTTTTGGTTATTTCCTAAATCATTTATTCATAAAAGTTGTATCAGTTTAAACAAACTAAATTCAAGTTGTAATTTTACGTATCTATGATAATAACTCAAATAATTACCCCCAGTAAAGTTACGGAGCGTGGTATTTGTTTTACTTAATTTTTGAAAATTTATGACTTTTGTTAACTACGTACGTGCTAAATGTATATTCAAAATTTTGTTAGCTACTCGTTCTGTTTATATCCTATTTTTTTGTATGTTTAAAACAATCAGGATATTCAAATTTCCTTACAGCTGTATGTCAAGGAATAAGCATATTACACTGCACTAAACCGCTGCCCACTGAAAATCTGGGTGATTCGTGTTCTTAGCTTACACTGAGTGGGTTAGCATAGGCGTATTGTTAACGTTTCTTTTCTGAACCTTCTGTTTAATTTTTTAAATCAATTTTAATCTTACTTCCACTGCCACACTTTTATTGTCTTTTTTATATTCATATTTTATTTATGCTGCATAGTGGCTGGTGCTGAATAAATGTTTTCTTTCTCACTATATAATTTTTTTATTTTGTGTGATCATTTATTGCCATCTATCCCCTTTATCATAATATTCATTGACCATCTTCCCATATGCTGTTCCGTTGCATCATAAAACTGCGACTTATTAATAAATTATTCGAATTAAACTTCCAAACGGGGCAAAATAAAAAAGTATTTTATATTTCTTCGTGAAAATAATATTTTATGAATGGCCATAGTCCACCGGGATTGTGTTTGGTTATCTCTCACAATAAATTGGGATTGGTAAGTATAACTTTTATGTTGCAATATGAATCTGATTCGTGTTTTTACGAAGGTTTTGCGGACAGAGTCGTTTGTATTATCAGTACAGATTGGTCCAATTTATTCAGTGTATTCTACCAGAACCACATACCTACCTATGCATTTCAAACACAGTCATAATTATAATATGTGCCAAAAATGCAATTGAGCTATATTTGAGGCCAATGCATGAGGAATGCATAAAATATCCGGAATGCAAACTCCGTAGTGTCTAAAATTATACATCACACAAGTAGAACAGTGATGCCTTTGAAAAAATATAACACATGAGTTCAGTTTTCATCCTATTCCTTCGTTAGTTAAATGAAATAAGGGTACTTTTTTAATTTCAATATAAGTCTTAGGTACATTCAATTAGTGGAATTTTTGAAATGTTTCAGTTTTTCTACTTCCAGCCAAAAGGTTTCAAGGTCAGTATAACATGCCTTCCATTCATCTCATTCATCTCTA